TTGTTTGTATTTTGTGTTTTTTTCTTGAACAGATTTGGATGCATGATGTTTTTGAAATTTACAAAGGTTGCTTGAAGGTGAATGATCAGTCTCCTTACAAGTTGGACAAGGACATTCCAGATATTTAAAAAAAATATATTAAGTGATATTTCTAAAAAAATAAAGGCAGATAAATGGTAAATATTTACTTGATTTTATGAGAATGGAATAAGTTCAGTTGCTATCACTGATTCAGAAGGAATGCTTATTGGAAATATTAGTATGGCTGATGTTAAAATTTGTACTATTTATTAACTATTTTGATTATTTATTTATGTTGGTTATGGTTATGATTGATAATTTTTGGAAGAATAGAAATAATGACGATGATAACCATTCTCTATATTCAAAAGTTTGTTAGTCATGTAAGAAGTATACGAGGATTAGAAGATGGTCAGGTAAATTAAACAATCAATTAGAAATACTATTTGAAATATGTGCAGATATATATCAAACATACATATGTTCACATATATTTACTCAAATATATAAGATAGGTATCCAGTGTTTAATGTTGTATGACATCAAATTTAGGATATACAATTGCCAAATTGACAGCCACAAAAGCACATCATGTATGGGTGGTTGATGAGAAAATGAAAGCTGTAAGGAATTGTAGGTTTAACAGATATTTTGGGTGTCTTTGCTCAAGCAGCTGGTGAGAATTTTTCACTGAAGAAACTATCAAGATCTACTTCTTCTTAAAAGTGAATTAAAGGATTAATAAAGGATTAGTGAATATGTGAATGAATGATGAATATATATATTTACTCCTTTACCAACTATTATAAATAAATTTTTGAGTTGATATGTATTTATTGCATTTTTAAATATTGAAAGATAAATAAATTATCATCTAATATTTTACATACATACATTTATATTTTTTTAAATAAAACATCCAGATAAACAATTATGTAACAAATAATGCTTTTAGAAAAATCTAATTATTGAAATCTTAAGAGGAAAAAAGATTATGATTTTTTTAATTATATATTAAATTATTTTATTTATTTTTTTGAAAATTTACATTTAAATTTTAAAAAAAACCAATTAAGTTCTAGGTTTTTCTTTCTTTTCTTTATATCTATATAATAGTAATATAAATATAATTAATTTAATTAAAAATAAATATTAATGATTATAATAAATTGATAACTTACAAAGCAAGAAGAGATACACCAGAGACTTTGACCACTTTGAAACGAACACCAGGAATATCACCAATCTAAATAAAATAAAAATTTTTTTAAATAAAATCATTTAATTATAATAATAATAACAATAATAACAATAAATTACGTACAGCTCTTCCTTTACGACCAAAACCAGCAAGTAAAACCTCATCATTTTCATCAATATAATTCAAACAACCATCATTAGGGACAAAAGCTGTTACTTTCTTTCCATTTTTAATTAATTGTACACGAACACATTTACGAATAGCAGAATTAGGTTGTTTTGCTTCCACACCACTATAAGTTAAAATAATTAGATCATGATCATATATCATTTATACAAAAAATAAAATAAAAAATATACATTTTTTCAAGAACAATTCCTTTAGCATGAGAAGAACCACCAAAAGGTGAAGATTTAAAAGCAGTACCCAAAGCTCTTTTTTTATATGCTTTATCAGCCCAACGTTCTTCACGACGATGAGTACGTAACTTACGAGCACTATGTAATCCTCTTGGTTTACCTTTACCTTTAGATTATTTAACAAAATTTTTATAGGTTTGATTTAACAATTGATTAAATTAATTAAAAAATTTCTTTTGGTTACCCATAATTATTTATCTATTTATTTATTATAAATATTTTTGTTTACTTTAAAGACAATGACAATGATATTTAATCGAAAAATTTTTTTTGTTAGATTAAATTCTACATAAAATATTTTGATTGGTTGATGAAATCTTAGTATGTTGTGTGAAAATATGACATTTCGGTGGCCTAATATTATGAAATTGGTTGATGGTAAATAAATTTATTATTATCATTCTTTCTGGTCTCTCTTATTACCAATATTTGAACAAAGTATTTATTTTAAAATTTTTCCTCTAGTGTGCTGGCATTGATGGTGAAAGAGTAAATTTTGATCCATTAGCAAATTGGGCACCTGAGACAATTGAAACATGTATATATACAAAAAATGCAGATATTTATATGGTAGGAAAGCTACTTAGTAAGCTTTTATGTCCATTATCTGAAGAAGCTCATGATTTTGAGATATTTACTACAACAATGAACCCTGATTTGCGTCTTACAGCTAAAGAAACTCTTCAACATATCTGGTTTTCATAAGCATTTTCAAGTAATTGTTTGGAACTCTTAATGGCATATTTTAATTATTATTTTACAATTTGTATATATATATATATTTTTTATAACAAATGATAAGACAAATAATTTTTAAAGTTTGGAAACAAAGAATTTGAACATAAAATGATTATCAGAACATATTATCAGTTTACTTTCTCTTTTCTAGGTACAAAAAAAAGAATGTATTTTTGTGCATTTCAATATTTTTCCTTTGTCTTTAATTTCAATACATCAAAAAAAATTTGTTATAATGCTGTTATTCATGTAAATATTTTAACAAGAAATTCCTATCTGGTAAATTTATAAGTTATAAACTACAAAATGAACATAAGATTTATATATAGGGATGAGTGCATATGAAAAGTAATAATGAAAAATAATAAATATAATGGTTCCACTGAATATGAAAAAGCCATGTGTTTCTTGGAGATAGGTTGCAATTGTAGTTGCTCTTTTCAAGAATTCCCAAGGAAGAATTTGCAGAATCAAGGGAATCTTTTCAAGCACTTTCTAAATCAGAACAAGACATATTTTTAATGTCCCAACTTAAAGCAATGGATGGTGGGTTAATGAGCATTAGTAGATGCCTTAAAAGAAAACTAGATCTAATAAAAGAACATTCTAACAGTGGGATCACAATATACTACTCTGCCAAAAAACATATCTCAATATGCTAGAACTTATTATGAAAATATTAGAAATCATCTGATAAACAATGGTCTTCTGCTAAGAATTCATGGCAATATTAAAAGGTTGCCTCAATGGAAAACTAAGACGATGATTGATAAAAATGTTGTAGAAGTAGTAAAGAATTTTCTGGAAAATTATGCTGAAGTCCATGGATTACCAGTTACATATATATATTCTAATCATAAAAGTATTCAAATATAAGGGGAAGGCCGAAGATGTTCATTTTAATAATCGGAAATGTTACGCTTTATTCAGTTCAAAAGTTTATTAACCAAACCAGGACTGGGTATTAAGTAAACATAAAGTTAACTTGCATATAAACTTAAAGTCTCATCGAGTTTGCATTATTAGGATGAAATTTTTGAATTAGACAAAAAATCCGTGATTTTATGAAAACTTTGAGCTTAGTAAAAAAGTTCAAAACTTCATTGATCATGGATTATGTCATTAAGTCCAATTAAAACATCTTGAATTATATATGGTTAAAATTCGAGAACAGTTGATCAAGTATAGACAACAAAACGTAATGCCTTAAAATTTGCATTTTGTCAACTTTATTAATGCTGACACCATATTGTAGATATATGTAATCCATTACGTTAAGCACATTTTATTAATGAAACAATATACATTACAATGAAGAAATTTGCATGTAAAGATTCCAATTGAAAATCTGCTTTTTGGACTATTTGCTAAATGTTTCCATTAATACCATACCAAACCTTTCGAAGCTTTTGTAATTTAGAGATTTTGATATCAAGTACAAGCCTACTAAGTAAAGTAAAAAAGGTTAAGAAACGTTACTTTTTTAGTAAGGACTCTTTTCATCTGACGTCACACGACGTAGATGGTTGGATGTTTATGGTAGGTGAGTGTAAGTAATGATATATGGGGCATGCTGCAACAAAACCAGACAAAGTGAACATTGGTATTACCAAGGATTTCAGGGATCAAAATTTAG